ATATTCTGTTGTTCACTTAATGATTCTATTTATTTCTAAAAGTCAACTCAGTTTAACAATTCCAAATCAGATCTTCTGATGTCCTCTTCCCCAGTTCCATCTTCTGGAACTCATCTCAATAAACACAATCATCCAGTTGCTCATATATAAAACAGAAATCATTTTTTGATAATTCCTTTCTCTGTCATCTCCCATATTCAATCCATTTGCTCATCTCCCATGATATATTTCAAATCTGCTTATTTCTCTCCATCTCTACCTCTACCATCCTGGTCCACATCTCCACCAATCCTCCTCTCATCTTCTGAAATTGCCTCCTGACTAGTAACTTCAATTAAATTGTAGTTGCCTGCAATCCACTACAGCAACTAGAGTGATCTGAAGACACAAATCAAATCATTCCTCTCAGAAATTTTAAATCATTCATTCAATAGTTTCATTTGTATTTAGAATAAAATTAAAATTCTTTCCCTGATCTCTAAGGCTCTGGATGATATATGCTGCCTGCCTACCTCAGCCTCTCAATTACAATTAAGTCCATAAATCTGCTGTGTCTTGACAAGACCTTTTCTACTTCAAGGACTTTGCCCTTGCAGTTCCAGTGGCCTCAGGGAACTTTCTATTCCCTAGCTGTTCACATGGCTGGTTCCCTGTCATGTTCAACAGTCAATTCCTCAATAACGCTTATTTGACAACTTTATCTAAAGTAGGTCTGTCTTCAGACCTATATTCAATTAATTTCTACTGCAGGACTTATGGCAATCTAAAATAATTTTCATTATTTAGTGTTTTTCCAGTTAAATTATATGTTTAATAAGTCAGGGATAACAGCTTAATTGAGACATAATTCACATACCATACAATTCACCCATCGAACATATATAATTCAGTGGCTTTTGGTGTATTACAAAAATCATGGTAAAATAGATAATACAAAATTTATTATTTTAACCATTTATTATTGATTATCTAAACCATTTTAGTGGCATTAATCACATTCTCTATGTTATGCAAACATCATCACCATATATTTCTTAAACTTTTTCATCACCTCAAACTCTATAACCATTAAGCAATGGTTCTCCCACTTGCTCCTTCTCCCAGTACTCCAATCTACTTGTCTGTATGCTCTTGTCTTCTCTAGATATTTCATGTAAGTGGAATCATATAATACTTGTCTCTTTGCACCTAGCTTATCAGTGAGGCAGGCATCTGGGATCTTGTGTGTCTTACAACCTAATTAGGCATACACAGCTAGCTTATAGTACATGCTCAATAAACAAAAAACAATTTTAAAAATGTATTTTTATTATATATATTTAAGACACAGCACAATGTTTTGATGTACATATGTAAAGACATACACAATACAATTGTTACAACAAATTACATACTTGTCACTTTCCAGTTAACTTTTCTGGTATGGTGACAACACCTAAAATCTACTTTTACTAAATTGTAAAAATACAATATTATTGACTATAAGTCTCATGAAGTATATTAATGCCTCTGTTCTTAAGGAACTATCTGGGAATGTCATCTTCTTTGAACTACACATTTAGGATGGAAATATATACAACAATGATGCATGTAAAAGTAAGGGAATTTTTTTGCTGAGCCTGTTAGATTATAGTGACGGAGGTCAAATCCATATTTGTCTTCAAATTCATTTAACATTATCTGTTCTTTATTTCTACAGGGTGATGATAAGGATCATATAGAGCCATATGCATATTCCTTACTAACTATGAGGAAAAAGGATTATAATTTTTGTTATACTACTTTTTATGCTCTGGGAATTAAAAGCAAACTATTGTTCTATATGTAAATTCTAATACAATATGCTTAAAAGCTTACTGACAATTATGGTAGTACCTCATTTCTGAATCAATGCTAATTATGCCATGTCTGAGTTTTGACAGGATCATTTCTATATTATTACAATGTCAACCAATAAGGAAGGCTATTTCCAAATGAAGGGGCTGGCACTTGACACATTAGTGAATGGTGCTCAAAACAATGCATTTGCTTGACTCACTTTCAATATCTGATCCAGCACATATATACATACCTTTAGTCAGCAGTGACATGAAGAAGGCAAGCAGGCCTGATCAATGCTCCCTGCTCTTTAAACAACACTTGAGGATTTCTACTTGAAGGCCTGTCTTTCCAAGCCTGTGCTTTCAAAACATGGGCTGGACTGATCCCAAATACTGAAGTAACAAATATTACTAAATTCTGTCATTTCCTCTACCAAAAAGTGATTTTACTACTACTTCTGGTTGTGATGAAAGGCCCTATTGACTATTCAAATCCTCGACCAAGTTATGGATGCAGTATTAAATGACTTCACTCCTTTTTCTCTGGCACTTTAACACATGCCAATGCTTTCATCCACCTCCACTAAAGTGGCTTATAAATTACTGAGGTGGGGCCATTTTAATAGTATGATTTGTTCACATCTCTAGAGATGAGGTACAAATGAAACTGGCTGAGAAGACAAACTCCCCTTTGACAACACACATTAGTATACATAAATAGACCTTCAAAAGCTGGAAATATCTTATTGCTGTAACACTTGGTTAGGAGTCACAATAATTAATGGTTCTTTGATTTGTTACAAATCAAAATGTGAAAAAGTGGTGGTAGTAAGGTTAAAGACAAAAAAAAGAAGCCTTCCCCAAGGTCACAAATTTGAAAGATCACATGTTTGACAGAAGTTTCCATCCAAATATTTAAATTGGAAGTTTACTGTCCCCTCCTTTTAAAACTGCCACAGTGGTGGTAAAAAGATACTTGCTTCCCATGATGCAGAGTGGCTGATCTATTGATCTTAACACCCTCACATTCAAATCTCTCAATTTACAAAAAGAATGGAGAGGATTCAAAGTTTCTAGAAACAATCCAGTTTTTAAACAGATGTATAAAACTTGTTGAGCATATCTGTGGCTTTGGTCTAGTTAAGGAGAAAGTCAGAGACTACTTGGGAAGTTCTTCCAAGTGAGATCAAACAGTCACTAGAGCCATGAGTCTGGTATGCAGGGCTCACTTCCTGTTTCCCATTGCAAATAGACTCCATTTGGTCTTGCTCCCAAAGCAAGCTGGGCTATTCTCAGTTCCTCTCTATACCATTCTTTGCATTCCTACTAGGCCCTGAGAAGAAAGAAGGGTGTAGTTGCATGTGTATGTATGTCTGCATGTGTGCATGCATATGTGCGTGTATGAAGCTGGGATTTATGAGGAAATCCAGGCATTTTGGTAGGGGTTTCACCTGGAAGCTTCTGACAACCTTTCAACCTTAGGACAAGGACCTAAGGGCACAGAGCAAGAAATGGAAAACAGGGCAGAAAAAAACTTCTGAACTCAAACAGAACTTAGTTCTACTAAAGAACACCAATTTTGCTCCCAGACTCTGCACCCTGTTGCATCCAAGTGCTCTTTCCACCTACTGACTTCACTGGAGGTGCCGCCTAATTGACTTACTAATTTACTTCATCTTCCTTAGTGCCGTCTTCTTTAGCAGTTTGTCAAAGCACTGCCTTTTCCATGGTATGACACCACTGTGATCAGCACAACTAGACAGTCTTGACATTAAAGTCCTGCTCTTTGACTGAAATACTTATCTGCCAAAAATGGAGGAAAGGAAAGCATCTTGTGGGAAGAACAGCACATGAAAAGGTGAGTCATGGGCCAGAGACTGCACAAGATTGTGTGGCTGGAGGGAGGAACATGAGTGAGAGGGAAAGTAACAGTAAAAGCAGTGTGACTGAAGGGACACTGAGTATGGGGTTATGAAGCAAGTGATTTTAATTGGATTACAAACTAGAAATTTGATCCAATTTCAAGAGGACAGCAATCTTAATAAAAACCAGATTTAAAAAATGAACATTAAATTAAGGTTGGTTGAGGGAAGAAAGGCATCATATAGAGGTATAATTCTAGGTTTATCAGACATGAACAAGGAAATTGTTCAGTAAGATTCTAGATTTATATGGATAAAAGGTAACTTCAGCTCACAGAAGCAAAAGCATCACAAATTTTATTATTTCCACAAAACTGAAAGGTCTAAGGATATAGCTGATAATATCTCTAAATAACAGCTAGGCTGAGGGTATCCATCCATGTGATAGTCCAATTGGAAGGATGTCCTAATGAGAACAAAGCACTGACACTGGTCTTTCTTGACTACTAGAAAATTTATGGAACATCTACCTCTTCAAGTACAGCCAAGTGTACTAAAGAAATGCTACGTACTTCTTTCAGAAAAAATACAAACTCAGGCATCTGATAGTCTCACTATGGTATGTGGAAAGACATTATTCAAGTGAGTTACAAACTCATGTGCTGTTGAAAGAGCCACAGAAATCCAAGATGGATTGGAAGGAACATATGCTCGGTCTTTTCCTTTGGGTCCTGGATAATGAGTATGACATGGTATGACACAACAAGACCATTAAGGACTTGCCAAAGGCACTAAACTTTTACTCCATAAACAAGAAAGCAAAATGAGTCCCTAGAAGTGGTCTAAGAAAGCTATTACCAATCAAGCTGCAGACCAGGAAATTATAAAGTCCACACATTCAAGTACAAGTCCACCATCAAGTAAGATCATAGAAAAGGGCTTCTGAGTTTAGCAGGATTCCAACTGGTACCCATTGATTCTGTGTCTTCATTACAAAGGCACAGAATAGGTCTGGAGATGTGGCTCAAGCGTTAGCGCGCTCGCCTGGCATGCGTGCGGCACGGGTTCGATCCTCAGCACCACATACAAACAAAGATGTTGTGTCCGCCAAAAACTAAAAAATGAATATTAAAAAAGAAAATTCTCTCACAAAAAAAAAAAAAAACAAAAACAAAGGCACAGAATAAGACTGTGGCCAAAAAAGAAATTGGCATTACTAATGTAACTGGTTAATTAAAAAGGGTCAATCACAATACTTAGTTATAAAGAGAGTTAACAATCCAAAGCAGTCAGAAAGGAGAGAATAAGAATGGCTTACCTGTGCTATATTTTTGTTCAGAAGATAGACACCATAATCAAATTGTAACTTCTCTCCTCCTTTTGGATACAGTGGAAACCTAAGAAAAATAAAGAAATTGTAAAGATAAGAATTTTCCAAAACTAAGTAAATACAACCTCCTAGTTGTTGACAGAGGCTGAAGTTACTTAGATGTAGCATAAATATCTCAAGATTGTACTAAATCACTTAGGTACATTCACTGCCATCTACTAATATCTTCATAATAATAGTCAACTCAGAATAATGGCTTTCTTACAAAGGAAAAACTAAAAAGGTCACCTAACAAAGCACTAATGTATTAAGAAAGTGACCGTCTAACTCCAAGGAGTTGAAGCCACCAGCTTCTACCAAATGCCATAAGCTTGCCACCCTGAAGACTTAGATCCTAGAATTTCTTTCCTCTAATACCTTGAACCTGACATCTCAACTTTTACTAAATAGTAGAGGAAAATTAAGGGAAAAATCACACTTAAAAGCAAAAATTCATCACATTTACAGTGATGGCTACTAGGATACAACTTCTCCAGAGCAATGCACTCATGCCATAAAACTTTCAGAAATGACTTCACCTTAAAAAAAAATATATGTATGTATATATGTGTATATATATATATATATATATATATAAATATAAATATAAATATAAATAATAGATGGACACGATATCTTTATTTTATTTTTATGTGGTGCTGAAATTGAACCCAGTGCCTCACACGTGCTAAGCAAGCGCTCTAACACTGAGTCCCAGCCCCACTCCATGACTTCACCTTTTGACCTGCCTCACTGAAGTAACGGAGGGATGAAATCTGGATCTTCATAAAGATAAGAAGTTAGTTTAGGAAATAAGTTTTCCTCACTATTTCCCTTTCCTTACCCCTGCAAATGAAGAAGAAATGGTTGGTATACACCTATATTCATTTTTAAGATGTATATAGACACATTTTTTAAAGTTATTGTTACGCTATGACTATACATATTGGTGGGATTCACTGTGACATATTTGTACATGCACATAATATAATTTGATCAATTTCTTTCCCCAGTACCTCCCCTTTCTCCTTCCTCTATATTCTCCTTTTCAACTCTACTGGTCTCCCTTCTATCTTCATGAGGTCCTTTTAAAATTCCTCTCTAACTTCTCCATATTACAGAGAAAATATGACCCTTGACTTTCTGAGTCTGGTTTATTTCGATCAACAAAGTACTCTGTACTTCCATTCATTTTCATGCAAATGACAAAATTTAATTCTTTATACTGAATAAAATTCCATTTTGTGTGTGTGTGTGTGTGTGTGTGTGTGTGTATGGAAAGAACATATGCTTGGTCAGCCCTGACATTAAAGTCCTGTTTAATTGTATGTATACACCACAGTTTCTTTATCCATTCATCTGTTACATACATCTAGGCTGGTTTCATAATTTGGCTATTGTGAATTTTGTTGCTATAAACATGGGTTTGCATATATTGCTACAGTATTAATTCTCTTGGAAAAATACCAATGAATAGTACAGCTGGGTCACATGATGATTCCATTTGTGGCCTTATGAGGAACCTCCACTATGGTTTCCATAGTGATTATACTAATTTACAATCCTATCAACAGTGAATAAGTATTTTCCCAACATTCTCATCAGTATTCATTATTACTTGTGTCCTTTTAAAAAAAGGTTTTAATATGTTCTTTTTAGTTATATATGACAGTAGAATATATTTTGACGTATCAATTACTTGTATTCTTGATGATTGCTATACTAACTGGAGTGAGATGAAATCTCAGTGTACTTTTGATTTGCATTTCTCAGATTCCTAACAATACTGAACAGTTTTTCATGTTTTGTTGGCCACTTGTATTTCTTCTTTTGAGAAATGTGTATTTAATTATTATTCAGGTTACTTCTTTTAGTGTTGTTTTTGAGTTCTTTATATATCCTAGATATTAATTTTCTGTCAGAAGAGTAACTGGCAATGGTTTTTCTATAGACTCTCTTCACACTCTTTTCTTCTTTGCTGTGGTTGCACATACCTATATTCTAATCAATTTTTTTTCTAATTTTTAAGATCAAGCATTAAGTTTTATAAAATGAAACAGATTTCTCTATTAACAGGTCAATCGCAACTTACACAGTATCACAAAGAAAACATTTGTTCCCTTAGATTTGCAATATGATTACTCTCACAAATAAAATAATCTTATTGAAATGAATGGTAGATGACAATTAGCAGATATTCTTAATTTTAAATGTCTCAATTGCCTGAGGAAAGGAAACATTCTATAAAGCCTGGAGGGTAGGATTTTCAGGGAAAATAAAAGAGAATTTAAAAGCTTTATATTAAATCCTTAGGAGTTGACATTTTATAGTATCCAAAAGGTGTATCTGTTGTGCTATAAAATTATAAGAATTGGGCAATAATTAAAGGCATGAACTTCAGACACTCATTAATTGAAACAGTAGAAAATAAATTAAACATGTGGTTTGGCCCCAAACTGAGATGAATAAAAATGACAGAAAGCAAATTCAGGATAAGCAAAATGCAACACCAGGTTTTTGCAAGGTGTCTGGGAATCATTCAAACTCATATCGGGTAGCGTGGACAGAAACTACATGTTTGCAAAGACAGAACAACAGGGGAAGTTCAAGGTATCCAATGGAGTCCCAAAACTTCTCAGTGTTCTGTACTGAATAGTTGTTATTCTATAAGCCATCACAGGTAGCCTGTCAGAACAGTGCTCCAAACCCGAAGTTATCCTCATTTTCCATTATAAATCCAGAAGCTGTTTCACACATTAAAAGGGTAAATTGAGATCAGCACACACTGAAAACTGAACCTCTACATATACTAATAAATTTATTTTACATTTGACTTTATTATACTTCACTGGAACTTCTTTATAGAAAGAGCCTCAAGTTATAAGTGTAACATTAAAACAAATTTGAAGAGTGATTAGAGCCAAAGGTTCAAATAGGCTGCTAAGAGAAGACCAAATATTAGGATGGAGTTCACATTTTATGATGCTTTCAGATTCTTAATGGGTCCCTTTGAATTGAGCAACTTAATTGTAACTATCACATATTCATCTTTCTTTCCAAAAATACACGGATTCATAGATTAAGCAATATGGAAAAACAGAATTCATTTTAAAGGGTAAAACCCATCACTATCAGGACACAAGAAACAAATAAAAGAATTTTATTTCAACTCTAGAAAAAGAATTACATTAGCAAACTTGAGAAAGTTTAAATAAGAATGTGGTTATATAAGTACAACTAGAAAAATGTCCTTAACACAAAAACAGGACTCATAAAAGGAGAGTATTACATTAACTGGAGAATGACTATATAGTTCCTATTAATACATGCAATATAATTTATTAATATTATACCCAAATGGCCAATATTGTTACTTTTCAAATTAAATTAAATTTCCAAATTATTTAAAAGTTCACTGACTGGACATGGCAAAAATTATGAAGTAGAAAGCAATAAATAGATTATATGAGTGAAAGAAATCCATCTGAGACTTTCACTGTATCTGATGCCTGGTGGGGAGGAGGTTGCAGACCCCCAAACCTAATTATTGGAGCCCAGCTGGATCTATCCCTTTTAAAAAATATTTTATTTAGACACAGGGTCTCACTGAGTTGCTTAGGGCCTTGCAAAATTGCTGAGGTTGAACTCCCAATCCTCCTGCCTCAGCCTCCGGAGCTGCTGGGATTACAGAAGTGCACCACTGTGTCCAGCTACTATAATTATCTTATCATTATGGACTACCAAATTGGCCTAGGTCAGTTTACAACTCTTTCTTTTTCTAGTCAATCTAAGTTTCTAATTTTACACTTACTGTGTGATTATTTAGTTAATATACGCCAACCTTAGTATACTGTTGGCTCCAACAGGACAGAAACAGGTTTTACTTTGTTCCTCTTTTACCCCGCTGGTTCTGTCTAGCACTGTTACTAATAGATAATAATATTTTTTAATTAAAAAATAGATGACCCTGTCTCTAAATAAAATATAAAAAGGACTAAGGAAGTGACTCAGTGATTAAGCACACCTGGGTTCAATCCCTGGTGCCAAAAAAAAGAGAGAAAGATTATGTGTAAAAAAGATTTGGAGTGCTTTAGTATATAGCAATTCAATAGGAGTAAAGAGCTGTGACATGACAATCAAAAAAGCTAATGTGATCCCAGGCTTCATTAACAGAAGCAGAGTTTTGTAACAGTGTTACTATTACTTAAAAGAAACTGATCTGCCTTGGTTACCTACATGGTAATGGAAGAGACATGACCTCATTATTAGGTCTTCAAGGATAAATGTAGTATTCCTTCCATTTCCTGAGTCCTTTAGAGAAACACACCCAGGATGATTAGGGAAATGGGAGCCATATATTTTCTTTTGCCCAGACTAATTTTTTAATAACAACTTTTCTCTTTTACTTACTCAGGGCTACAGTGACAATTTTTACTCACCTTGTTTTTTTATATATGTAGTGATTTACCAAGTTGACAAGCCATTTTCCTTCTGAAACACTCTTGTCTCTTCATGCCCATTGCCTCTCTGGATAATTCTTTCATGTGGGAGGTTTCCTACACACTATAGGATGTTTAGCAGGGCTGGCATCCCTGTCTACTAAAAGCCACTAGTATCCTACTCCCAACTGTGATAACCAAAAATGTTTCCAGACATTGTCAGATGTTGCCTGAGAGGGAGGGGAAGGGTGATAAAATTGTCTTCAGTTGAAAACAACCGTCTAAACTCTTACTAATTTGATTATTATAACATCTTTCTAGCCAGCACCTTTAAGCTGGTTCACTATCCATTATCACTGTCAGATTGATTTGAGGCAGTCTAGTAGGTTTTTTAAAATTAAGTTATGAGGGCTGGGTTTGTAGCTCAGTGGTAGAGCACTTGCCTAGGATGTGTGAGGCACTGGCTTTGATTCTCAGTACCACATATAAATAAATAAAATAAAGGTTCATCAACAACTAGGAAAAAAAAATAAATCACAACAGAAAAGACCAAGTTTTTCTACTCTCAGATCCATCATTTACTTGTTAC